TCTGTGAGGCTTTGTTGTCAAGTGCGGTGCTGGCATGGGGGCCACAGCGGGAAACAGGCAGACTGTCCCTGATATCACGGAGCTTTCATTTGGGTGGGTACACTGAGAACAAAATCAAAATATCAAGTAATGCAAAACAGCAACAAAGCCCACAAAATGCATGACTGACTAGAAGTTCATAAGTTACGGTAATTACTGTAAAGGAAAATGACAGAATGAGGAGAAGAATGGAATCAGTAGTTCACCTAGCTGAGCACAGCACTGTCAGAGTGTCAGTCCAAATGGAGGGTGTTGGTCTGGCTTTGCCCACTCCTGGGGACTTCTAATTTGGTGGGGGTGCCTGGTGGTAAGACTCTTAGGAACAAAGTATTAGGTAGTGTTGAAAAGCTGGGGAAGACAATGCAGAATGGGTAGAGGTGGGGGTGACTAGGTCCCAGAGAGAAGCCTTTGGCACAGGTGAAGGCCTCATTCAGGTCACAAGAATTTATTGAGTAGATACTATGTGCCAGATACCTTATCTCAATCAACATCCACAACAACCTTATGAAACATGTGTTACAATTATCCCTACTTTACAGATGAGAAAACTGAGGCCCACTGAGGATAAGTGACTTGCTCAGGATCACATATCCAGCAAGTGAGTTGGGGGGTGGGGCTGGCATTTGAGACAGAACCTCTGTGCAGTTCTCCAGTTCTAACCCTAACTCTAAATGAACTCTAACCCTAAACTGAATCCTCTGGCATAGGCTACATCCCAGGGCTGACGCGGGGTTCTCTCCCCACGTCTCCAGAGAACCTTTTCAAACCCACCCAGACTCACCCACCATTGCTTGAATGTAGCAGAGTCAGAGCCACCTCACCCATAGGGAAGTCTCAAACCCTTCCAAATCTCTGGCCCTCAGGGTGATGCCAGTGTTCAATGCCCTCTCGCCCTCTCTGAGCTCCAGCCTGAGAAAACTGGGTATTTTAGTTCCCTGGGGCCCCCTTGCCTCTGGCTCTGGGCCATTGCACAGGCTGTTCCCTCTGCTGAATGTTCTTCTTTTTTCCTTTTTGAGGAGATACCTTTGTCTTTTAAGTCTGTACTCACATATCATTTCCCCTAGGAAGGCTTACTGGATTCCCTCATACCAGACTAGCTGTCCCTGTTTATGCTTCCACTTGCCGCAAGGGGTAACTGTCCTCCAAGGTGGCCTCCACGGATCCTGGCCTCTTGGTATCCACACCTTTGGGTAGTGCTCTCCCACATGGTATCAGGGTTTATCTGTGTGACCAACAGAATACAGTGGAACGATGGCTTGCAACTTTGAGGATGGGCCACAAAAGACATCGTCATTCTGTCTTGCCCTCTTGGGTCGCTCCCCCTGGGGAGAGCCAGCTGCCCTGTGGTGTGGGCGCCCCACAACCCTGAGGGCGAGGTCAGGGTGGTGAGAACTGAGGCTTCCTGCCAACAGCCAGCAGCGCCTCTCCACACCCCCGAGGGGGTCGTCTTTAGCCCCAGTCGAATCTTCAGAGGAGCCGGCCCACACCTGGTCTGCAGCCACGTGAGAAACTGTGAACAAAAAACACCCAGCTAAACCACTTCCAAATTCCTGACCCCCAGAAACCGCCATTGATGAGAAGTGACTATGGTTTCAGGGGTAATTTGTTAAGCAGTCACAGACGGCTAATGTATCGGATCAACAGGGTTTCCCATTTGTTTTCCACCTTTTGCGCTTGACTGTGATGAGCTCCAGGAAGACAGAGACTGTGTCTTTCTCACAGTTGCATCCTCAGCACCAGGCGGGGAGCCCGGTACGTGGTGGAGAACCCGAGGAGAATTGGTCAGTGAATGGCTCCGGGGGTGGGAGTTCCCAGGAGCATTTCAGAGTGAGAAGGGCCTGGCCGGGCCTCCTGATACATCTCCCGGAATATTTTCAGGAAGGGTGAGGGCCTCCCTGGGTGGACCAGGCCATTTCCCACCCTCGGAGCTCTTCTGTTCCATCCACGTGTCTTGGGAGGTGTGCGTGATGGCTCGGACAAACTCCCTTCTTTGTGGAAGTTTCCAGGAACCGAAAGGTAGGGGCAGGAAGCAGATATTTTTCTGACTTGAAAAAGCAGCGATGGGCTGTGTCCAGATGATAGGGGACTCATCAATTCCAGTTAGTGGCTCTCCTCCTGGCTTGGGAGATTGTCCTTGCCTCGTCTCCCAGACTATTAATGCCAGTTCTTCCGAGTACACGTGGCCCGGCCCAGCTCTGGGCTGGGGACGTTTGCTTCCTGCGGGGCTCACAGCCATGAAATATTCAGTGCCAGTGACTTCCCCTCTCATATTTCTTCATATTCAGAGTGGCCACTCAATTGATATGTAAATAAAGCACACCAGCACTGAGTCTGTCCCCAACTGCATTATTTAAGCCGCAAACCGATGCATCATCTGTCATGGGGCCCATTGGCGGGACCCTGCTGGGCGCCGGGCAATAAAGCCCGCAAGAGCCTCATCAGAAGCAGCGGGTGGCCTAGTGGAAGTTCATTTATGCATGAAATATTCAGCCAGCAACAGTGCCAGCCCTAAACATCAGTAATTGGGGGGTTTCTATTGCTCCTAACTAGTGCCTCTAAATTATTGCAAAAGACTGGCCAATTTTCAAATTACATGTATTTGTCATGCTCTTGTACCTTTCCTGAACTAACTGGAACGGCCCCTGTGCTGTGGCAGCTTGCACACTCACTGTGTGAGGAGCCGTGCTCGGTGGAGCCGGACTCCTCTGCAGAGTAGAACCGAGTGAGGGCCGCCCTGGCCCAGCAAGCCCTGTGCTGCCTGTCTGCCTTCCTCTCCTGACTGTGGGTAGTGCCCCTCACTCTGGTGCCCTAGGGGGGCCTCCTTCACGCCTAGGCCAGGCGCCTGAGGCCCTGGGGTGTCAGACACCCCAGCACGCACCTGAGAAGAGTTGGGTCCCGCATCTGTCCTTGTGGGGACTTGCCTAGTTCTGTGAGGTCCACCTCTCGTTCAACATTTATTGAGCATCTTCTCTGTCCCAGGCCCTGTCTGAGATGTTGGGGACACAATAATGAGCTAAAGCCAGGCTCCCCAACCTCTGGGCCTGTTAGGAACCGGGCTGCACAGTAGGAGGTGAGTGGTGGGAGACAGCTTTGCTCACATTACCACCTGAGCTCTGCCTCTTGTCCCTTGCCCCCCATCCATGGAAAGATTGTCTTCCAAGAAACTGGTCCCTGGTGCCAAAAATGTTGGGAACCACTGAGCTAAAAGTACAGGTTGTCCCAGCTTTTAAGGAGCTCACAGTTTAGTAGTTCACAATACCATTTAGATTATTGAAGATCAGTGAGCACTGCCTGATGTTACCCCACCCCCAAAGATAAACCCTGAGGTGAGACCGTGAATGCAGATTATTTATTTGGGCAGTGATCCCAGCAAATAGTGGTGGGAGAGGGGAGATGATACAGGGAAGAGAAGGTAGCTGATATAGGAGGTGTTCATGAGTGGGGCAGCTGGGGTTGAGTCCCACTGGGGACCTCTAAGAGCCAGAGTAGAGTACACCTCAGTTATTCGACCCAAGGGGTAGGGGGCTCCTGGCAGTGCTCCTGCCCCCGGTGTGGGAAGGCTGCAGATAAAGCTGTGCCCTTGGCATCCGCCCCAGGGTTACCCTGGCAACTGGTGGCATCTTGCAGCCGTCTGTAAGGGAGTTTCTCATCTTTATCTCCCTGAATTCTGGCACAGCTCCTGTGCGTGCAGGAGTAGAAGGTGAGTGGGTTCCTGGGGAGGGCCCAGGCCACCCTGCCCAGAGGCTGCTGACTTTCTGACAAAGTGGTCTTGCTCCTTGGTTGAAGAGCTACCCACATTTAGCAAAAGGTAGAAGGAAGGGGTGCTAATCATCTTGTGATTATTTCTGAATCATTGTTTAATGATCTCAAGTATGCTTTTCACCCAGCTGGCACCTCTCAGCCTGCAGGCCCCAGTAAAGTGTCACCTCCTCAGAGAAGCCTTCCCTGACTACATATCCAGGGAGAGCGCCACCCACATTCCTGGTCACAGTCTGCCGTTGTTTCATCCACAGCACTTACCACAGCAGATAAGGATCTCCCCGCTGACCTGCTTGCTCATTCATTGTCAGTCTCCCTCCACCGGTGGGGAAGTTCCTGGAGGCAGTGGCTGTGTCTTCTCTGTTCCTTCACTCCTCTGCTCCCGGTAACAAGTCCAGCATCTGGCTCACAGAGGGTCCTCAGTAACTGCTGTTGAGCTAGAGAACAAGTCAATGAAGGCTGTGGGATAAGGATTATAATTCCTCCTGTCGTAGGTGGGGACAATGAGGCCAAGAGAAATCTGAAGGGATCATCCAAGTCAGGATGATCCCTTCCTGAGCCCTCCGGCAATAGCTCCCCTTTCTAAACTTGGCATTGCCCAAGTTTTCAGCAGGAGCATCCCCTTGAACCATACTTGGGAGGCCTGGGGCAGTCAGCAAAGCGTGGTTAAAATTCCATCTCCTGGTGACCAGGCCTGGCAGGCCACTACAGGGACATGGCTCGGGCATTGATGCACAAGGCTTAGCTGCCAAAGGAATTTAAGATCCCGAGGAGAAAAAAATATCCAAATATTCAAGAAACCCCTCAGGACCAGACCCTTTTCTGATAAGCTCCTTGGAGCATTTCTGTGCTAATAGTAATGATTTCTTTGTAATGGGCTAGACTTTTTGGGCTTTTATTTTTATTTTATTTATTTAAATCCTCCCTGAGGACGTGTTTTGTTGCTTTTTTTTGGAGAGAGAGGAATGGATGGAAGTTTGGCGGGGAGAGAGGAGGGGGAGAGAGACCGACATTGGTGTGAGAGAGGAACATGGATTGATTGCCTTCTGCTACATGCCGGATGGGGGATTGAAACTAAACCTGGAGACGTGCCCCGACCAGAGATCGAACCTGTGACTTTTCCGTCTGCAAGATGATGCTCCAACCAACTGAGTGGCCAGGGATGGACTTTTTATTTTTACCCTTCTTTTAAAAACCAAGGCATCGCTTCTCAGCCTTTTGGCTAAGATCAAGTTTAGTATCTGTTTTCATCAGTTTAAAAAACGAGGCAGATAAACCTCCAGGGGAATCGGGTGATTTTTGAAAATGAAAAAGATTTTGAAATGATCTCAGGTTTGCAGGAAAGTTACAAAACGTATTCAAATAATTGCTGTATACACTTTACCCAGATTCCCTCGAAGTTACTATTTCACCACAGTTACTTTATTATGTGTGTGTACAGATAACTTTTTCTCTCTGAGCTGTCTGCCTGTCGGTTGTGGACATAAATGCCCCTTTGCTTTTAAACTATATCAGTGCGTATTTCCTATAAACCAGGAAATTCTCACATAACTGTAATTGCAGTAGAATTTTCAAAATCAGATAACTAGCATTCCTACAGTAGTAGTATCATCTAATTTACAAACCTTACTCTCCCGATTCCTCATTTCCAGGGTTGCTTCCCAGGTAATCTACTTGCATCTAAGGTCTTGTCTTAAATTCTGCTTTTGGGGGAATTCAAAGAAAGGCAAGAGCTCATTGGAGCTTTGCAAATGTCTGGTAAGTCCCTCATTTCTTCAGCCCAGCTTCCAGCCCCAGGCTCACTGACTCTGCCCCTGAGACCCCTTTCCCTTCTAATTTTCATCCTCTGGATGTAGTCCAAGGTGGGTGCCACACCTCAGGTAGGACCTGACCCTTGAATCTCCCTGGTGGGCCCTGGACTTCACCTCTCCACTCTAACCTTCAAGCCACTACCCTAGCTCAGGCCTCATCCTCTCCCCAAATGACTATTAAAAGTGTCTTAAACTGCCTCCTGTCCTGAATCTTTTTCCTTAGATGTGTTTTGCACAAATGCTTCTCAACATACAATTCTATTTTTACGTTTCTAATCTGATGAAAGCACTTTTCCACCTACAGGATGAAGCCTCATTCCACAGCCTGGCACATGAGTCTCTGGCAGACTTCTGCCGCCTCCCCTTATTGGCTTTGTGTCTTCCAGGGTTCCTAAGTGCCTGCAGTTGGGAACAGAGTTCCCAAGTCCCAAACCCACCAGCCTGTCTCCTGTTCCAGGCCTTTCCATCTGCCAGTCTCTCTGCCAGGGAAGTGTATCTACCCCAGTGGGTGCAAAGAAAATCACTATTTACCTTTAAGTCTCATCTCAAGGATCACTGCTCTTGGGAGCCTCTGGCCATGTCTTCCCTTGCTTATTTCTAGCATAACATTTACTGCCCGGAACTGAAACTGCTTCTGCATTTATCTAGACTGGAGCTCCTTAAAGGTAGCAGGCCTGGTCTTGTTTACTCAGCATCATCCCTTAAGCTTAGCACCGCAATTGGCTCGGATGAGCACCTGGCACTGGTTTGCAGGATGAATTAGAATGACAGTCTTTTTGATCCAGCTCAGAGATCTGGATTCTTTTTATTCAAACCTGCATACCTAAGTTTTATGTTCATTGGTTTACTAGGAAGAGGTCAGGGGGCTGGAGGAGCCACTTAGAAGGGAAAACTCAGTCACATTGGTCAAATTTGGACAGAACCTTTGGTTGTCATTTTCTTCCCCCCATATTCTCCAGTCTTCACATTTGCTTCCTTTCCAACTGTCCTGGCCCCAGCCAGGGATGCCTCCTTCTCCCTGATTCCCGAGCTTCCCAAACAAACTCCCCATTAATGCTTGTCTAATGCAAATGTTGAATGGCCTATGTGGATGCTATTAAAATAATGAATGCAGAAGGGGATAGATGAACAAGGCTGGGAATCGATCTTGGACCTCTGATGAGATCATTAAGAACTGGGGGAAGGGGTGGAAGCATCACTCGCACAGGTTGAGATCCCACCAGTGCCTCTTCCTCCTCCATCAAGTCCTTTCCCCCTTCCCATCTCCCCTTTGATTTATGAGCTGGCCACCTCCCCCTCCCCCATCCATTACCCTCCGTGCAGCACTAACTCACCATGGAAAATCTATTTGAGTCAAGTGGAATTTTTATCTTTGCCTGGGAATTAATGCATTTTGTACAAGATATTTTAATCATGCTTTTCTTATGGCAAGAATTATGGCATAAAAACTATCTGCTCCAAAGACTCAGTCAGATGCTGCATAGATGATGGACCTTGGCTCCTTGATGGGGGACATGTGGCAAGGAGTCTAGACCAGTCAGTCACACCTGAGGACTGGATATTGAGGAGGGAAGAGGAGGCTGCCTGGAGTGGGTTTTGGCTGGTGATGGAGAGCTCCTTACACTTCAAAGCAATCACCTCTTTGATCATTGTCGATACATTCTTCTTGGAATCAAGTTCTCACATTCTTATAATAATAAAGATGTAAATTCTGATTCTTTGATTCCGTTAAAAAGAGACTGAGGAGGTAGCATGATATGGGGAGGACCACAACTGCGTAGGCCCGAATTTTATCTGTACCATTTTCCAGCATTGCGGGGGGTACTCCCTGAGCTGCAGGAAAGTGGTCATGACCTTGGTTACTACCTCCTTGCTGTGTTATGAGGATCGAGTGAAAAAATATGCATGAAATGGCACAGCTTTTGTCTGGCACATAGTAAGTCCTCCATAAAGTCTAGTCTTCTTTTATTTTATTCTTTCCTTTCTCATTGGCTGCTGAAGATAGGTCCCTTTTCTTTAACTTTAAATAAATTTTTTATTGTTCAATTACAGTTGACATACAATATTATATTAGTTTCAGGTGTACAACCCAATGATTAGACATTATATAACTTACTAAGTGTAGGGTCAGTTTTTAATGTTGTCACTTTATAGCAGCCAGGCACATGGTGGGTATTGTGTAAATATATGTTGAGCGAAAGAATCATTTACTTCTTGGGTCGCTGACAAACTCAGCTACTTGTTTGGCTTCTGGAGATAAAAGTTCTGCCAACCAGACTACTTTCCAAGTGGGCCACGGTTTTGTCGTTGTTCTCTCTGCAGCCGGCCACAGCCATTCTCCATTACTCCGCCTTACTTACATTTCTTTTATTACCTGATATTTCCTTTCAAAATCACTTGTTCACTCATTGCCTGCCTCTTCCAGTGAATTAGAAGCTTCAGGATGGCGTGTGTCTTTCTCATATGCCATTGTATCCCTAGGCCTTGGCACGTAGTGGGTACTTCATACAATGTTTGTTGAATATATTCATAAATAAGTGAATAAATAGAATAAATAAGATGGTTGTTTTCCATGTTGATCCCTGCTTGATTGTACATGTGGCAGGAAAGCAATATTGTGTCAGTCTCTTTGCAGAACGACCTGTACAAAGGACTTAAAGCCAAAGACTGTGGGAAGCAGGGTGGCTGCGGGGGACACTAGTGGAAAGGGGCGCCCTATGCCCCCGAGTAAGATCTCCAAACATTGCAAAAAAACTGCTCTTCTCCTCTCTGCTTTGATCTGGGAGGAAAAGAGGGCCGTTTGGTTTGTGAAGACCAGCTTCTTAGTGGAAGCGAGGTAGGAGCAGGTGCTGCAGAGGCCTTCCCGAGAGGGGTGCCCTCCCCACCAGCTCTGGGAGGATGCGAAGGAAGGAGCGCTCTTCTCCCTCCTGCCCCTGGCTGATGGCTGAAGGGGAGGAAGCCTGTGCTGCTTGAGCTCCCCTCCCTGCACTGGCAGGAGCTGACAGATAGGGTGGCTGCCGAGGCTAAGGTGAGGGGTGGCAGGGAGACCTTGCACAGATGGGTGCAACTTCTGGAATCACAAAAGCTCGGGTCAGAGACTCTCCTTGGCTCACAGGAGTTCAGGTCCTCAGGGCTGATGGGCTCAACGCTGAAGCATCAGCTGTTCTGACTCAATCTTTGTGCTTCGAATTGCTGTGGAAGACAGCCCTGGCCTGCCTGTTGGGGGAGTGGGAGGAAAGGGCTGCAGGAGGAGCGATGGGCTGCCTGTGTTTATCTATCTGTTCTGCCCCTGGATCAATTCATTCGCCCCATGAACTTTGTCTGAGCCCCTCCATAGTGCCAGGCACTGTGTCGGGCCCAGGACTTCAGTACCGTGAAAGGCAGACATGGTGTTTTTACATTACGAAGCTTATAGTCTGAGGAAGAAAAACACTTATAAGGTAAACACACAAATAAGTAAGTAATCACATCTGTGACCTGGTAGGAAGGTTGGGCATGTATTATTTCTATATTGTCACAAAATTTTGTGCAACAAACCATCTCAAAACCTGGTATCCTAAAACAACGAGTATTTATTTAGCTCTGGAGTTTTCAGAAACAGCCCTTTAAGGCTGGTCCTGGCTTGGTCACTCATGTGCGTGGTGGTTGGCTGTGGGTTGGCTGACCTGGGCGGCTTCTGTTGAGATGACTGGGGTGGTTCACTGCTGTTTACGCATCTCCTCTCCAGCCGGGGCACATTTCCATGATGAAGGTAGGTGAGTAAGAGGATAAATGAAAATACGCAATGACTCTTGAGGCCTAGACTTGGTACCAGGATACAATTACTTCTGCTTCATTCTCTTGGCCAAAGCAAGTTTCAAGCCCAGACTGCGTTTCAGTGGTTGGTGGGGAAATAGGCTCCACCTCTTTCATGAGAGAGACTGCAAAGTCATAGGCAGAGGCTGTGGATGAAGGGAGAAGGGAGCCGGGAAGAATGGGGCATGAGCGCACTCAATCGAGACTAGGGCACTTGACTGAAATCCACTGGTCGAGGAGGCCCCTCTGAGGAGGTGATATTTCAGCCGAGCTATGTAGGATGAGTAGGAGGTAGCCCAGTGAAGAGAAAGGAAGAACATTCCAGGCTGGCGGCGTGTGTCCTTTAGCCCTGAGATCGGCACGAACTGTATAGAATCAAGATACTAGCAGCAGTCAGCATGGCTGACAGCTGGTGAGGAAGGCTTTAGCTGAAATGAGGTTGACGGTGGGGGGGGGGGAGGAGGTGGAGGGTTGATGGGGGGTAGGGGGTGTGGGGCAAAGCAGAGGCCAGCCCAAGCTTGCTCTGGAGCTGCCCTGCTTGGAACAGCACCTTTATTTGAAACAATAGTCATACTGGCCAATCATAAGAGCTCTAATTTATTGCGCTATATCTACTATGAGCTGAGCTGAGCCTGGGAGGTGGATGGAGGACAAGACACTGTCCTCATCCTTGAAGGACTCACAGAGAAGGGGAGTGAGTTCACATGAGTGAGTGACCATGCGTGTTGGGGGGTTCGATGAAGGGAAGTGCAAAGTGAAGTATGGGGTCCTGCCGAGG